CCATATTAAAATTCCTTCAAGATTAAGGGGGTTGGAAGCCAAAATCAGAAACACAAAGGTAACAAAGAAAGATAAAAAATGAAAAATATTCTGATTGAAGGCAAATGATGAAATATAGAAGTATATAAACATAAAAAAAAAATGAAGAAGATAACAACCTAAACTAACTTGAAATGGACAAAGGTATAAGGTAATACTATCCCTCGGATTTTAACACTTCTTAAATAGGTTATTAGTTATGTTACTCATTGTCCCTTTCCTATTTATTTGTTAAATTCTTTTAATGAACCTTTTTTGACACAAACACTATTCATAATATGAGAATTTTTTTAGGTATTTTATTTACTAACCACGTCCAAGCTTTTACCTCACTATCTCCAAATATTTTCTCATTTCTTTTACCAAATGTTACTATTATTTCTTTGATTCTAGTAGAGTTCTATATCATATTTCCACCGGTTTTCAGTCGAGGCATAAAGAATTTATAAAAGTATTGAAAAGTTTTAGTTATTGCAAAGATTCCACGATATTTTATATGCATATTTGTCTTTGAATTATTTATAGTAAGTCTTTGTTCTGCATCATTTCATCATTATTTTTAAATAAAAAAGCTTTTCATTTGTGTTTTTATAAGCTATTCACAATTGAAGGGTCCATCTTTCTTTTTTTCGTAGAAGAAACAGTGTTTTCACTTTAGTTAAGAACCATAAACATATGGGACTTGATAAAGATTAGTTAAACTCTATGTTAGATGCTCAATATTCTTCCTAGAAGGTAGAACGTTATTAAATGACTTGTGAGAAGAGTGAATTCTATTTCCTAAGTCAGTAAATTTCTTAATATTGAACTTTAATTTATAAGTACTAAACAAAGATTTTCTTAAAAATACTCTCTAATATTTAAACAAGTAAAAGCTTTTAAATAACAAATAAATTAAAATAATATAACACTTTTTTATTAATATTTATAGACTTTTAAATCTTTATAAATAAAATCAAACAACAACAAAATATAGAATGTATCCCATAGACTATTTATATTAGGGTTAGATATATTTTAAGCTCTTTAGTTTTCAATGAAAATTAAAATTAGTCCATTTTCAAAATTTTGAACCAATTTAGTCTTTAATCTTTAGAACGACGTGAATTTGGTCATTTTAATAACCAATTTTTTTTCCAATTTATATAATGTTTCAAATGTCTTTCTCAATTAATATTGAAACAGAAATGTGTCGAATGGTGTAAACAATTCAAATGCTATCATGAAACATGTTTGAAACTTCAAATAAACCTAACAAAATTTAGTTAAAAGGACTAAATCCACAAATGTCTAAAGTTGAGAGGCTAAATTAGGCCAAAGTTTTGAAGATGGACTATTTCCAATTTTACTACAACTTAAGAGATCAAAAACATATTTAACACTTTATATTATTTGTATCATATGTAATCAATATCATCTCGTCCACATTGAGTAACATCATGTCGACAAAGGCATTTTGATCGTAATAGTTCGATAACCTAAGATGAAGTCACACTGATATGAACATCTCGAACATAACAATAGCATACCATAACCTTAGTTGAAGGCACATATGAGAATAAAGTAAAGTTGACAAGGAGATAAAGACATAACATGAATTAACAAAACCCTAAACAACTTAAGAAAAATAATTGTTTAAATAGCATAGGCCTAACAAGATAAAAATTCATGAAACTACTCTAAATAGTTTTACTCTTGAAATAATTATTACACATTCCTTTTGCATTCATTATTGTTTTTATGCACATACATTAGGTGAGTGAGATTATCTTTATAGACATACTTCTACTTATGTGTTGAAGGCATCTTTACCTTGTACACGTGAGATTACCTTACTACATGGAAAACATCTATACCTTACATACGTAAGATTACCTTAAAACATCTGAAATTAAAGAAAAATGCTAACTCATATGACATTTTCTAGGATATATTTCGATCCTATATAATAACACTATTAAATAATAAATACTAGATTACCAAATGTTAGTTTGAGTCCACTTGACAAAATCATTAAAATCTAAACTGTTGATAAAGTATATCCAGAATACTCTGTTTTGAGAATTCCCAACCATTTTATACCCTTCCCATTTTAGTATCATTGTATTTTGGTGACGTAATATTTTTCCCAACCGTGACGAACATGTGAATACTGGGTAGGCCCATAACCCATTAATGCAATCATTTTCAAGCCCATAACCAAACTAACAGGATGAATTTGGATGTTTGAAGTCAATCACAACCAACGTCGCAGTGAGTCCATCGTAAAATACGAAATAAAATTGGTTGGGAAGTTCCCTCTCGCTGTTGGTCTTAGTCTTGGGCGATTTATGTCACGCGGACACTGAACCAAAGCAAAACCATTTCATCGTTGGATAATTTTATATAAATCATTGTTATACATTAAGTTAAATTTAATTGAACGCATACGAACAGAAGCAGACAAGCAAAAACTGTCCACCTTCCATCTCTTTCGTTCCTCTGAGGAAACGCTGTCTGGCATGGCGTTCGGGTCTTCCGAGGATGTCTCCGCTATCAAATTATTGCTCCTTCTGGCGGTCATGTACGGACTTCTGTCGGCGCTGACCTACTCCGTTGTCCACTTGAAGTTCGTGAATCCTCTCGGGAACGACGCGCCGCTCGATCGATTCTCTGAAGGAAGAACTATACAACATGTTCGAATGTTGTCCCAAGAGATCGACGGTCGTCAAGTGAGCCAAATTTAATTCCTTTTTCTTTTATAATTTGGAAATGTGAAACCTTATCAGCGTTGTTTCGTCTTAATGATATTGTTTACAATTAGGGATCTTTATTGTGTGACAAGATAGCAATCGCTTTCCAGTAAGTGGAATCCATCGCTTTTTCGTCGCTGTTATGAATTAATAAGTGCTGCTACTCGTACAGTAACTCGTATAATGTAATTTATATAACTATTTTTATTTTGAGAAGATATGTATTAAAATATTTTAAAACTCATAACAAACATGATTTTTAATTCTAATTGGTTAAGAATGGGAAATTTTTTCACACAGTAGACACCTATGAAACTTATCGTCTTAGTTGTAATGTTTTGTTGTACAGAAAAGATAACATTTTTCTTACGAATCTTAATTGGTTTTATGAATGTTGACTTTTGGTGCATTTATTAACAGGAAGGGCGTCCTGGTTTAAAAAAGGCAGCAGAATATATTAAGGGTCAGTTGGAAGTACTAAAGGAGCGAGCTAGCTCCAATGTCAGGTTGCAACAGTACTTTTTATAATTGTTTTATTATTATTTGTTACAATTCTTTTTCTCTTTTTCCTTGTTGGCCCACTTATTTGTTTTATTTAATACACGCTTTTAATGTATGTTTCTTTCTTTCTTTCTTTCTTTCTATCTTTCAATTTCTTGAACTCTGATTTGGTTTCCAACTTTTTACTCGCAGAATTGAGATTGAGGAGACTACTGTAAGTGGTTCCTTCAATATGTTGTTTTTGGGACACAACATAGCCCTTGGATACAGAAATCATACTAATATTATTATGAGGTACACTGGCAAATCAATATGGTCATTTGTATTGGATTCAGATGTGTATTGGGTGGGATATATGAATGGTATTCTTGTGCTATAGTTATCCCTTAGGCTTCAAAGTCAAGCAGTTTTAACATTTCAAATTTGAATTTCCTTGTTTTAAGGGTAAACTTCCCTTAACACGCCTCTAGCTTTTCCATTGCCCACTTGAGAAAATATCGTCACTTGCAAATCACCATCTAAATTCAACTTATAGTTGATAGGTCACCACTTTGTTATCCAAACTGACCGACAAAGTTATACAACTGCTAGGAGTTAACTACTGAATTGAGCATAAACTGGACAAAAATTAAAGTTGTGGATGCCTTGTCAAGATCAATGCATGCAACTAAATGTCCACAATAGAAGGACATGCTGGAGTGGCCAGAACCGTGCAAGAATTGCAGCATAATTGGAAAGGAATAAGGAAAGATGTTCCGCAACTTATAAGCAAATGTTTCACATACCACATCAAGTTAGATTTAGTAACATGAAAGCAATTATTTCGATTGTTTCCAATCACCAATAAAATTTAGGAGGACATAAGAGCATGAATTTTGAACTGGCTTAAAATTATCAGTCTACCACTAGGACACATTATCCTATTAGTGATTATTGATCATTGTCTAAGGCCACTTAGCACAACCATCATAGCTAATAATTCTAGTTTGCAAATTGCAGAAAAGTTCATTCACATTTGGCAGTTTATTGAATAATTTTCTTTCTGGTTGTGGCTAATTAAACAATTACGGTATTGCTGATATTTGTTTTTACTTGTACCACAATTGAGTGCAATCTTACCCTGTTTTTTCTAACACCAGTTTTTATTTTTTCTGTGGAAATTATACATATTATTCCTCCAGAAAATTCAAAGAAGTATTAGTGTCATCTGTTTCCCTTCTTACATTTGGTCCTCTCCTTCCTCATTTTCAGTTCTCTGCAATGATGTGAACTTCTTCGAAGAAATTCATAATTGGGAACATCATACTGCTTGAATTGTCTTTAGATCACATGCACTGCTTGTGTTATAAATGGCATTAATCCTGAATCAAAGTTAAGGATTAAGTGACACAGAGTTGAAAGGGTTATTTTAAAGGGTGAACTACATGGGAAATAAAGTTTAATTATCCCTTTGTTTAACCTGAATGTTGGTTAACATTGAAACTGTTAAACTAGAGTTTGGTTTCTTAAGTGGGATTCATGTGGTCTTACATAATCCTTTTGGCCTAATGTAGTTTTTTAGTAGAAAAAAGTATCTTATAATTTAAAGTTAGAAGTCTTAAGATGTCCGGGCACTGACTGGGAATATGGCTAGAATATTTCTTATCAGGCTTTGGTAATCCTCACCCTTGAGTTATGGTTTTGGGTTGAGCTATAATCTGTAATTTTTATTATGGTATTAGGCCTCTCTAGTCTTAATGTTGGATTTCCTACTGATGTTTAGTCTTGCTAATTTCCTGTTCTAAACATCGAGTTGTAGGGGTGTGATTAGAGTTGTCAATAGCAGCGAATCTCTATTTGCACTGACATAGCATTGCACTTCAAAATTTCAAAATAGCAGTTATCCAGCTATGTGCTATGCTCTTCTTTTAGTGGGCCAGCCACTATACACAGCTATGTGGGATCCGTAATTATGGGTTTGAGCTAACATGTCCATGTCCTACATTAGCTAGGATTATGGGCAGAATACTCCTTATTAGGCGTGAGCTATCTTCTCCCCTTGACTTAGCTTTTGGCACTGAGTTAGGCCTTGTTCATTTTTATTAAATTATAGGGCTTCCAATTAGGGGAAAAGAATTGAAAAAATGTATTAGACAAGCTTGCTTTTTACAATCTGAGTCAGCTCTATCAATGGGGTCACCTGCTAGTAACTTACGTTAACATTGTGACTATCATACAATTAACGGAGTTTAAAATCATACACCTAATAGTTTCAAAGATAAACACGTTCAGAGGGTAAATTGAAAAAGAAATGGAGCTCCGTATATGGAATGGAAGATTTGAATGAAGTACATGTGGTGGTGGTAATCTTGATGTACTGTTCTTGCAATTAACAGTGGCATTTTAATGCAATCTCTCTTTCTGTTTGCTTTAATTTTTTAGTTTTCTAAATGATACTTCTCCTGGCAGGCACTACGTGACCTGGAAAAGTGATATACCATTTCTTAAACTGTAGAGTTGGAGTGAACATAAGGTAGGAACTAATATGACTCTTTTAATATAAATTAACAAGGTTCATTGATGAAGAGGGTTACAGAAACAGTATTAGTAGATAATTATGTTCAATCTGAAGATCTCTGAAATATGGATATAATGATTAATTACTGAACATGATGTGTCAAGAATCAAGACTATAGTGAATCGTTATTGTACCTTAAGTGACTACATATATTTTATGTACATTATATAACAAAGAAGGTTATGTGAATGTAATACTCTGTTTGACATTTGTTGCCTCTCTTAGTGTAGTTTATTTTAATTAGACAATTGTTATTTCTGTTGTAGTTGTAGTTTTGTTAGACGGTTGGTTAGTGTAGCATTTTGTCAGAGGATTGGTTTGTGTAACTGTTATGTTAGAACTTGTATTAGAGCTTTGTATATATTCTTCTGATAACAGAGTCTCATTCTTCTCATCTTGTATTTTTTACCCTCTTCAAAGTAATAAATCAGTGTATCAGTTTTCTATTACTGTATCCAGAGCACATTGATTCTTTTTCATGACTTTTGTCAGAATTCTTGATGGTGATGTTTCTTCAATTTCAGTGACTGCTTCGACTTCTCCTTCATGACAATAACTGCTGAGACCTCTTTGATTCCAGTGGCTGCTCCAGCCACTATTTCTCATCAAATCATGAAAAGACTTGATGAAAGAATTTTTTGTTGTTTCAACAACAAATTGAATCTCTTATCAAAGCCTGTAGCCTTCATGGCTTTGTTGTTTCTTTCTCCCTTTATTCCGATGGGTTTTCTTTTTGAAAGTGATCGTGATCAAAATCACATCAATGCAGCATATCTAGACTGTTGGTTAGTGTAACTGCTTTGTTACACAATTACCACTAACTTGTAACTTAGCTTGGTATACACTCTTCTGTTAATCTAGACTGTTGATTAGTGTAACTGCTTTGCTTTGTTACACAATTACAACTAACTTGTAACTGAGCTTTGTATATCATCTTCTGTTAATTGAGTCTCATATTGATCTTGTATCTTTTACCCTCTCCCTAATAATAAATCAGTGTATCAGTTTTTTTTATCATGTTAACATATGATGAAGAACTAAGCTTGTATAGGATCATTTCCAACAATTTCCACCAAACAATAGACAAAACAAAAACTTGTGGAAGGGACCAAAGACAAAGAAACTTCAATCTACCTTGGTTAAATTCTCACTAAGTTCTTCATTGGACGTTGTGGTCGTTATCTTTGAGTTTCCAATTCAAAGTGACGGGTCTTTCTCTAGTCATCAATTTCTCTTGGTTGTCATTTCAATCAAGGTAAATTGGAATTTTTTTTCATCTTTGATCCCTTATACATTTTCTGTTTTGTCAATCGCTCGGTAAATGTTGTCAAAAATTATCCTGCACAAGGTTAGTTTTCCCATAATATATATGTCTGAGTTTAAGGAATATTGACTGCATTTTTTTTTTATTTTACTGCAGGATGTCATCTATGGCTTCAAAAGAGACTGATCCATCAGTTTTAGTGAATGGACATTTTGATAGTCCCCTTGGTTCCCCTGGTGCTGGTGACTGTGGTTCATGTGTTGGTGAGTAGTAGCTACATTTGAAGTCATCATTGAATTTAAGAGAGATTATATTTGGGAAATCTGTACATTACCTTTGAGCATTCTAAATTGTATGTTTATCTTATTTCCTCCCTTTTCAGCATCTATGCTGGAAATTGCAAGACTAATAGTCGACTCTGGTTGGGTTCCCCACCGCCCAGTTATTTTCCTTTTTAATGGTGCTGAGGAACTTTTTATGTTGGTAGGAAGTTTGTCTCTGCAGGATAATGATTTATTCATGTGTGGATTTTACCATAATGAGCTAATGTTGTGTTGTTTACTTCTAATGCTTAAGGGTTCACATGGGTTCATGAAGACACATAAGTGGCGTGACACAATAGGAGCTTTTATAAATGTGGAGGCATCAGGGACTGGAGGGCCTGGTAAGTGTCATGCAAATATTCTATTATTACTAGTAGTAGGATAATGAGCCAATCTTCAGCGTTTCTCTCCATCAACTTATGATGTGTGCCATACATTACATTTTCACTGAATAATGTTGCTAAACATAACAGATTTAGTTTGCCAATCTGGACCAAGTTCTTGGCCTTCTAATGTCTACGCAGAAGCAGCAATATACCCTATGGCTAATAGTGCAGCTGCGGTTATGTTTCTCTTCTAACCTTCCTATATCTTTAATACTCTATGGTGCTGGTTGGCCATAAATTTTTGTATTTCCTAATTCAAACATGAATTTTCCATTTCAACATACAGGATGTTTTCCCTGTTATTCCTGGAGATACTGATTACCGGATATTTTCCCAAGACTATGGGAATATTCCTGGGCTTGACATTATATTTCTCCTTGGTGGATACTTTTACCATACCTCATCTGATACAGTAGAGAGACTGTTGTACGTATCTTACATACTTGATTCGGTACAAGATATTTTTGATTGAACTTTTATAACTTTTTCTTGCAAAAGTGTGTAAGTATAACTCTTTCTCAGGCCTGGAAGCATCCAAGCACGTGGAGAAAATTTGTTTAGCATAATCAAGACATTTACTAATTCTTCTAAGCTACAAAACACCTATCAGACAAATTACAGTGAAGTTACCACGAGCATATTCAATGATGAGCGGGCTGTATTCTTTGATTATTTCTCATGGTTTATGGTATGCACTGATGTTAGCAGAATTCTGCTTTTTCTAATGATCCGATACTCCTTTTGATAATCAAAGCAATATAATCTTCAGAATTGGCCCATCTTGCTATTTTGTTGTGTTATATTTCAATTGTGGATTTTCAGATATTTTATTCCAGAAGAGTGGCTAAAATTCTTCATAGTATTCCTATCTTCTTCCTTGTTTTTCCCTTTACACATGGTAGATCACATTCTTGGTCGGCAGCCTTGTCTGATTTTATAAAAGGTAGATTTTTGCCTGGTTACTGTCATTTAACTTTTTGATATGATATTTCTAAATGGTCTCCTTGTTAATCACTTTAAATTTTTGCCTCAATATTCTGTGAGTATTTTTTTCCTGTGTTATTGTAGAAGAATTTAAATATTATTTGTTGACACTTTGAATAACATTTTATAATTTCTTGGATGTGCAGGTATTTTTATCCACACATTTGGAATTATATTGGCAGTTGTTGTTCCTGTTGTGTTTTCTATCTTGAGATTACTGTTGTCTTCTCAGACAATGAATTGGTACGTTCATTTAAAGTTAGCTTTTGGATTCTTGTAGTTAGTGAAAGATTTTTTGTAGTGTAACTTTTGGTTTTTTGCAGTTAGTGCCAGAATTGTTTTTTATTAACCAAATGAGATTGAGAGAACAAAGTATGATGGAGCTTCAATTTAATATTCGTCCAGTCAAATGTGAAGATTTTGAAGTGACTTTTTTGTGGCCATTAAAGTATCTTAGGTGTAATAATTTAAAATCATAATACATTTTCTGTAATCATGTGTTAACTAAATTGATAAAACCCAGGTTTGCTAATCCATACTTGGCTTTCCTGATGTTTGTACCCTGTGCACTTACTGGGCTTTTAATTCCAAGAATTATCTGGAGACGCTTTCCACTTTCTCAAGACGTTTCAATTGTCAAGGCATCTGAACAGGTATTGTGGAATATTGAAATGGGTTTAACAAGTCTATTCTGATCCGTGTCTTCATAGTTTATTTTTTATGAAATGATCATTAATAAATTTGTCACTACGTGATAGACTTTTTTTTTTCTTTTTTAAATAAAAATCAAGATCTGACTTTATTTTGACAAACTTGTTACGTTAACAAAAGAAAAATTGTCTGATAAAAGAAAATTTGCCAAACATCTACTTTGTTCTTGATTCTGTCAGTTATCAAATGAAATATATTGTCTGATAGAAAGACTTCCGACGTCCAACAATATTGTCTATAGAATTAGCTTATCCACTTTGGCTTGTGCTGCCTTCATGCATGATCTTTATAAATATGACTTTGTGTGGTGTTCTGAATTTGAGCATATTCTAGAGTGATTTCAATTTGTCCTGTTGGTGGAAGTCCGAACTGCCTAACTGTTTTGTTTGACACATAAATTGGCAGGCACTATCTGATGAAGCAAGGTTCTGGGGAGGATTTGGATTCTATGCCATATTAACTATGGTGTGCTTATTTAAAATACAGCCAGACAATATGATTCTTTTTCCTCGTGCTTTAATGTATTCTCTTGAATATTTTGCTTGGCTAAAACAATTTATTGAAAACAGGCTTATCTTGTAGCTGGGCTGAGTGGAGGTTTTGTGACATTTTTTGTGTGCGCTTCCATGCTTCCTGCGTGGTTATTTTTTTGCCTGTCAGTCAAATTCTTTGGACAAAGGTCACTCAGGTTGATTGTGAATACTTATTTAATTGTAACCACCTCATGTACTACTTTTGTACAGATAAATTTGTGTCTTGCTTCATCTTATGTCTTACAGCCCCCACTGTTATTTTACTCCCTTCACAGTGCAATAGATTTGTTTTGCATATTCACTGTTGTTATATGCATGCTATCATCTAATATTATTTCTTTTGGCAAGTGATATTCATTTCAATAATCCTTTTTTGTTTTTTTGCTCTCCAGGTCTACAATGTTTTACATATTACCTCTAGTTCCATGCCTTGCATATTCTGTTTATTTTGGTGGCTTTCTTGTCCAGTTTCTGATAGAGAAGATGGGAATGATGGGTTCTCTTCCTCTACCATATGGTTAGTTTATATACACACACCTCAATAATTAAATTAATGTATTATAAATTGCCCTTCTTAAGGTTTAGTATGATAAATAGACCATTTAGGTGGAATCACTAAGCTTTATGCTACTGCATTTGAATAGGTACATTTGTAAGTATGTTTGTTTAAATATATGGGCTATCTTGCCGGAGGTTTCCTTTATTGGAACTCATCATTAATAGTATTAAAGCTAGCAATTTCACAATGCTCAAAATGTATGCAGCCTGATCCAATCTTTGTTGCAGGGCACTATGTTCCTGATATTATTGTGGCTGCATTAATTGGAATTGTGACTGGTTGGTGCACAGGCCCTCTAATGCCCATATGTGGGCATTGGTTAGCCAGGTCATCCATCTTGCAATTTCTGCTTCATCTTAGTGTGTTTGGTTTAGCTTTATCATCTCAGTTTTTTCCTTACACCACGTCTGCACCTAAGAGGATTGTTTTTCAGCATACTTTCCACACTGCAGGTATAGATAACCAGAAATGGTTGCCTTCTGTAGTAATGAATAAATCTTGTGAATATAACGTGTTTATTTAAGTTCCTCTAATTCTTTCCTTTTCTATTATCATTGTAGCACTCCAAATATCTTTTTATTCTCTATTTTTTATCTAACTTCTAGCATTTTCCCCATGGTTTGGCAGGCTCTAGTCAGATTCTGGAATCCACTTATGATTTTTCTGTAACTGATTCCAATTCTTTACTTTTCCTTTTCAAACACTCACCTGAAGTGGCAAAGGAATTGAATGTTACTTCAGAGTTTTCATTTGAATCTGCATCATTTTCTAAACGCAATGATTGGATGGTATGTTGGATGCCGATTTTATTATTTTCATCCTTTCTCATCAGCACTTTTTCATCTCACTTAATTGAAAGGGTAATGAGTGAAACAAGATTTTCGTCCACATTTATTGTTATTCTTAATCTCTTTAATTAATGGACTTCAAGGTTGCGTCACATTCTTTAGCAGTTGCAAAATATTGAGTTAATTTTAGCAGTTAGAATACTTTTAAGAACACATTAGTATATGTTATGATTTGCCACGGCTATTTGATCTCATTCTCTTTGCAGGCAATTTTTCCAGTTTCTTTTCTCTTTTCAAACAGTCTGAAGTTCCCTGCACAAAAAGATTATATTTTGAAACAGTATGAGTACTTTCCAGAATTGTCTATTCAAAATTCATCATTAAATTCTGTAAAAGGACCGAGAAGAGTTCACTTGGAGCTTTTTTTAGGGTATGTATATCATGTTGCTTGCTACTAGCGTGGTTAATCTGCGTAGTAAAAACTACAAGTTATGTTCCATATGATTTCATATTTTTCTTTGTGGTGACCTAGTATGGAAATCTTGATTTAGTTGCTTCAAAACCTTTTCCATGTTGGTAGCATACAATAAGAGTCAGTGCGTGAGAATTATTTCAGAGATACAAATTATGATATTAGTTGGATTACTGGTCTATTTGTTTTTTCAACTTGGTTTGTTCTTACACAGGTGCTTGTCTCCTTAGAGAATGTAATAATGGGGAAATATGCTGTGATATAATCTGTTATTTGAATCCATATAGTATTTAATTTTGCAGACATTATGTGATCTTTTTCCCTACAAAAATAAATTCTTGTGTAATGGTTTTAGCTGAAATTTGTTTTCAAAGATCTAAAATTGGTTTTCTACACCACCTTGTGTGAACTGAAAACAGTTTAAGAAAAGTTAAGTGAAAGTACTTAACTTTTCTCTTTGTTTTCATGTATAACTGGATTTATCTTCCTTTTAGCTCCTTGCAAGAGGTCTGGGTTGCGGTTCTCAACATAACTGGTCCTTTATCAAGTTGGTCATTTGCAGATAATCTGCTTCCAGGTATGAAAACTGTTTACTCATGGGCAGGTCTAAACCTCAATTATTGTTACAAAATCACCCGGAATCATGTCAAAAATCACACCATCCACATCATAGATGTCCAGTTACAAACTTTACACTTGAAATGTCTTGATGTGAGGAGAGTGTTGAAAATCTTCGATTAATGTGACCATAATAGTAATGTATGAGTGGAGGGCAGCACTCATCCGAAAACTAGCTTTTGGAGTTAAGTTAGGTCCAAACTCAAAATTCTAAGAGTTAGGTAATATCTTTTCATTGCCTAATGTAGCTTGCACTTGGCACAGGAACTGAAATCTTTGGTGGTGGTCCACAATCATATATATGTCGTCTTAGTGGTCCTAGTGATGGGAATTGGACCTTCTGGTTAGAGGTAAAATTTGATGCTCTTTTAACTTCTTTTTACTATAACAGTGTAACTTACTATTTTGTTTGATGATGCCAGGCTAATAGCTCTGAAGCATTAAGAGTCGACGTTGCAGTTTTAGACCAAAAGTTGGTTGATCCAATGAAGAGATTGAAGGATCTTTTCCCTGACTGGGTTGATGTTACGGCCTATTCAAGTTTTATGTCTAGCTATATCTTATAATTCTTAATAAACAAGTCTTGTAAGAACAATTTATTTGTTTTAATACCGCATTTGTATAGACTAGTCATAGAAATTGATATAAGAACTGATCATTTAGTATGCTAATCCCATTTTCAACATAAAACTTTATTCTTTACGCAAACGTTCTTGCCAAAAAGAAAAAAAAAAAGTTGCATGGTATTAATAGATGCAAAACCAGAACCAATTTGATTATAAATCTGGACTGGGGCATTAAGTTTAGCGAATACTTATAATTATAATTTACAATTTTCAGATGATGGATGCTCATCGTGCCTTTGTCCTCTTCATTTAGTTTTACTTTTAAGGTTTAATTGCTTGCATTGTCCACAGTTTGGTTGCAACGTGTCAAGTTAGTCCATCTTTTTAAAAAAGTTTCAATTACGTCCAAACTTGGTTTAAAAGTGTCAATTTTGTCCAAACGTATGTAAAATTTGCTTCAATCAAGTCCCTTCCATTAAATCCACATAAATGGACGTTAATTTTTTTTTTCTCTCTCCTCTGCTTCTCTGCTCTGCTGCTATGCTCGGGTGCTCCTTTAGTAAAATGTTTTTCACTTATATTTAATATTTACATAAATTAAATCATGATCATGATGTAACTAAATGATTTTATCTAAATTATTATTCCACTTTTTTTTTACCAATATGCTACATATGATTTATTAATAGAGAATTGTGCCTGTTAATTGAAAGAAAAAATTAAAGTTATACAGTATCTATTAATTAAAATATGTGTGTATTTTAAAGTAAAATAATTTTATTAATCTCAAATATAAATATCTATCTTATATTTTATTATCTTAAAACTATTTTAGTAAATAAATTAATTAATAAATTATTTTAAATATATATGATTTATCCTATTATCTTATATATATTTTTAATATACTTTTAATGACGATAAATTATATATATATAATTAACACAAAACGTATAATTCTTTTTTAAAGAAAATGAAAATATGTAGAAACAGTTCAACCAATATTATACCAAAATAAATAATTTTGTAAATACCTTTTTAGTTAAAGAACAGAAAAATGAATTATTTGATTTTTAGATAATATTTTACTACGAATTATAATATTTTAATTATATTTATTGTTATTATTTTAATATAATATTTTACTACGAAAAGCAATTATCGAATGAAGCAGAAAATGGATGTGAAAAGAATACTTTTTGTTTAGATTTAGTTTTCATGTTTTTGTAAGATAAACTAAAACCAAGTATAAATATATGAGAAATGAGAGTTTCATCCACAATCATTACTCTGTGCAGAAGTTCTGTATAACTTAGTCCACGTATACTGTTTTTTTCATTTAATATATATGCATAATATTTTCAAATTTTCTAATAATTGCTTAATGTATTATTTTATATTTTATATTATCATTATATTATTTTATAATGTCCAGAGGAGCAGAGCAGAGAAGCAAAGGAGAGAGAACTAAAAAATTAACGTCCGTTTTGGTGAATTTAACGGAATGGACTTGATTGAAGCAAATTTTACATACATTTGGACGAAATTGACACTTTTAAACCAAGTTTGTACGTAATTGAAATTTTTTTAAAAAGATGGACTATTTTGACACGTTGCAGCCAAACTAGGGACAATGCAAGCAATTAAACCTACTTTTAAATGGTACCTCTGCAAATCATGAGCATTTATACCAAAGATTGGAACTTGATGTTACAGATGAAAGTTCCTTTCGTGCTTGATTGATATAGCGTGGTGATCATTGCACCTAATTTATATACCAAGCCTAAGGACTCAGTTTTGACAAAAAAAGGAACAAATTTAGCATATTGTCCTAAATGCTGCCACTGTCATTGAATGAAAGTAATTGGCAAATCATAGCGATATATAACATGTGGAGATTATGATGGTACATGGAATTCAATCAGATCTCAGTTCAATAAGCTTCCATCTTTTGTATCATTTTCTTTTGTCAAAATTGAGTTGTGATGTATGAAAGTAATTCTAGGTGTCTTAATTATACGAAAAACATACAAAATGAAGAATCTTGAATAGAAGGATTCCAATTTGTTATTGAGGAAGAAGAGAGTACAGAAACTTACGACATATTATATTTTTCTACCATAACTGCTAACAACAGTTCTCACACACACATTTATATATATATATATATATATATATATATATATATATATATTATATTATATATTAAGTGAGTCATGTTCGTCAATTTTATTTTTTTTTAAATTTAACATTGATTGTAAATCTTATGATAATTTCTTCGAAGAAACATGATCAAATTGCTAAAGCAATAATTATTGCCAATTTATTGAAACTCTGGTAATGGACTTAATTAAATAGACACTTTACCAAGAGCTATAGATACTCAATAGAGATCTTATTTGAATTTAGCTTATCATGCATTCATGAGACTAGTTGTGAAGTTCTTAAAAAAAACTAAAGAAGAAGGCAATTATTCTCACCTTATGTTAATAGTGCTTATGATATTCTCATATCTTTTGAAATCATTTTTTTTGTTTCATGAGAGATATCTTGATAATAACCTATGAGCTTTGTCATGCTTTGCAATGTAAGAATCAAGATATATTGAATGCAATGTTTTTTGTTTTCACAATAAAAACTTTGATTCAAAGAATGAGGGAATCACGTTGAGAAAGTTTTTTCAAGGAACTCAAATCATTTTTTGAAAAGCATGAAATCAACATTCATAAGCTAACTACCTTGTATTTTCCTAGAAGAGGTCGATGTTGAAAAAATGTTGATAACATTCCAGTTGAACATTATTATTGTAAAATTTGATAATTGATACACTTGATACTTAGTTGTAGGAGCTTAAGAGTATATTTTGTGATAATATGATGGAGTTACTTACTTTGAGTGAAACTTTAGATCTAAAAGGGCTTTACAAATCATTTAATGTGGAAAATTTTTTTGAATCGACATTAAAGTTTTATTCTAATGATTGTATTGAACATGAAAAGTTGCATCTTAGAATACAAGCTTAATATTATGAATTTGATGTTCCATTTCATTTGGAAATGAAAAATTTATCAACAAATTTCGAACCATGTCAAGAATTGTTAAACACAAGAAAATATTTGGCTTATTTCATGATTGATCGTTTAATTCAATTGGTATTAACTCTACTTATTTCAATTACTACAACTAAGAGATCTTTTTTAGCTATGAAGTGTTGACAAAAGAATATGGACATCTTAGAGTAGTTTTAGTGATGATGACTCATGGAGAAGTGTTGAAGATTTAAAGAATACTTAGATTCAAGAGTTACTGAGATGTTAAAAGCAATGAAAGATAAACAAGAAGCTGCTGATTCACAAAATACTTAGATTCAACAGTGTTTCAATGATTCACTTATCCAAATGTGACAATTTTAAACAACTCAATCAACCAATCTTAGATACAATGAGTCAAATAACTTATGGACACTTAATTGGTTTCAAAATCAATTTAGAAAACTTGAATAAGACACTATGAAATGATTGCTAAGATGTTCAACAATGAACTAGTGGTAAACCAGAATTTAAAATTGGAAAATTGACTCAAACAAGGAAATGCAGTTTCGGCTAACTGCTTTTAAAAACTCTTTTGCTGTGATTTTCACAATGGCAACCAAATAATGAAAGATTAAAAAGACAAGCAGAACACAATGCAACAACACAGTTTAAACAACACTTAGCTCAATCACGTGGTGCTCAGACCAAGGCTTTGGATACCACTTAATGGAGTTACTCCGTAATCTAAAGCATCAATTTCAAAAGCAGAATACCATAGAGCTCTCTTATCCTTTTGTAAACTTATCCTGCAAAACAAAACAATAGAGTTTTGGTCCCCACAATCTCATTTGGGTCCTTTGAGGTTAGAGATTAATTACTTTATAATAGGAATCCAAACATAGTTTTCATTTGGAATATCAAAATGTTTAATTCTACATTTGTTAGAAGTATGTCCCTTTTTCATGCAATAAAAATAACAAACATCATGCATCTTAGTTTTCACAAAGGTTCCTTTTTCAATCCAAACTCTACGAGTTCTCTTACTTTGTGGTTTCTTATGTTGATGCATGTTTTGTTTTTAAAATTACTTCTTTTAAAGTTAGTTTGAGCATGTGAAGTCGATTTGGTTGCTTTAACAAGCAAGTTTTAAAGTATATCAATGTCAAACATATAACTTTTGCAAGATAAACATTCAACAGGTTGTTCATTTACATTAGATTCAGACAATTTAGTTTCAAGATACTAACTTTATTTCTTAGTATGACTTCTTCATCTAATGCATTTTCATATTTAATTTTCAATTCCTTAAACTCATTTTTCAAATTTTTATGATCAGCATCCAATTTTTCAAATTCATTTAACAATTCAAGAAAAGCTTTTTGTAAATCAAATTCATCACTTGACTCAAAACTAGAATCACTTACTTGACTTCATATATCAACAAAGTCTGCCATTAAACATAAGTTTGCTTCCTCATCTGATTCACTTGAGGTTGAAGAACTAGAAGCATTTTCTTCCCAAGCTATGTAAGCCTTCTTCTTCTTAGGAAATTTCTTTTCATTATTTTCTTCACTTCTTTTGTTTTTAGGCCAGTTAGTTTTTACATGTCCTCTTTCTCCACATCCATACCACTTGATGCTTGATGGAGATTCTTGAGTTTCCTCTCTTTCTCCACGATGTTTATCATTTCCATTTGCTCTCATGAATTTGGAAAATTTCTTTATCATGAGGCTCACGTTTTCCTCATCATCAGAGTCATCATCCTCAGTTCTTCTTAAACACTTTCCTTTTAAAATTTCAGATTTGAAGGCTAAGGTCTTCCTCTTGCCTTGATTATCTTCTACAGTCAATCTGTTTAGCTCAAGCTCATGCTCACGAAGCTTTCCAAAGAGAACCGCCATTGACATTTAGGAGAGGTTTTGGGACTCCGAGATGGCAGTCACCTTTGGTTGCCAAGACATGTCCAATGATTTCAGAATTTGTACATTTAATTCATGAGTATCAAATGTCTTACCCAACCCGGTTAAGTGATTCACATTATGAATGAAGCGCTTTTAGACATCATGAATAGTTTCTCCAGGTTGCATTCTGAACATCTCGTACTCATGGATGAGCGTGTTCTTCCTTGCGCGTTTCACGTCATCAGTACCCTCACGTGTGACTCTAAGGACTTCCTAAATCTTCTGTGTTGTCTTACAAACTGAAATTCTATAGAACTCATCAAATACAACAGTAGATGAAATCATATTGCGAGCCTTAATATCAAATTGG